GCAGCGCCGCCGCGCCCGCCCCCACCTCGCCCGCGCCCAGGCCCGGCCCGGCCCGCGCGGCCCGCAGCACCTCCGCCGGCTCCATCGCCGCCCAGGCCGCCCCCTCCTCGCTCATGCCGCCCCCCCCGCCGGCCGCCCCGCCGGGAGCGCGCCCCACCCCCCGCCCCCCCGGGGCGCCGCGGGAGATCTGCGCCTGCGCAGACGCTGGCTCCTACTCCCCCCTCCCCCGGCTACTCGTGCACGGCGTTCACCCTGTAAGACGCCAGGGGGCGGGCTGGCCGAGCTGCCGCTTCTGAGGCGCTGTGTGGGCGGGGCTGAGCCCGGATGGGGAGGAGCTGTGGGCGAGCTGCAGGTCCAAGCCCCGCCCCCTTGTGGGCGAGCGTAGCCGGTGCCCCTCCCACCCCCGAAGCTCCCGGTTGAGCCTCTCGGGGCGCTTCTGTCGGGCAGCACGCCCCGCTTTTCTCGGCCTGGGCTACTTTGAAGACGTTGCGGACTTCAACGCCCAGAATTCAGCTGTTGCCGGTCGGGGAATTCTGGGCGTTGAAATCCAGGCCCCTTAAAGTTGCCCCTTTGGAGAAAAATCCCTTGAATCCCCTATGGCGGGGTTCCCCAACCTTGGCCCCTTTGAGACTTGTGGACTTCAACTCCCAGAATTCCCCAGCCAGCTCTGCTCTGCTCTGCTCTGCAGTTATGCTGGCTGGACAATTCTGGGAGTTGAAATCCACAAGTCTTAAAGGGGCCAAAGTTGGGGACCCCTGCTGTAAAGTTTAGGGCTGCAGCAGCACTCACAGGCCTCTCTCTATCTGTTGAGACTGGCTAGTTATCCAAGCCTTTTTAAGCAGCAAGCATGGCAGACTTTCCCAAAACTGGCAGGCTTAGCCTGACTGGTCTTCCTGGCCACTTTGAAGCCAGTGCCCGGAGCTGGTTCATGGGGCATGGGTTCAGTGCTGGGGTCCTGTTCGTTCTCTTCAGTGACTGGTATCCAGAAGCCACCCCTTCCTTTGGACCCTGCTGCAAGAGGTTTTGCTTGCGGTGCTCACCTTTGAAGCCTTGAATACCCTTCCAGATACACAAGGAGTCGTACAGCCAACCTCCCCCCACCCATACCTGGCAATTCTCTGATTCAGAGATGCTCTTGGTGAAGTGATTTTTCAGATGCAACAGCTTATTTCTTCTGCCCCAACTCTTGCCACACAGACACAAAAGATCACACATCTGGCTACTAATCTGCACACATGTACACCTTGGGAGAAAAAGAAAACCATCACGATCTTAGAAAAAAAATTAGTGGAAAAGCAAGGCCTAAAAGGAGTGTTTGTGGCTATCATACTTAGTGTGACTGATGGCCATGCTCACCCTTAGCCTTGTTTCCCTACCCCGCCCCCCCAAAAAAAACCCAGCTTGCAAAGTACAGTAATATTCAAGTTCTAAGTACACCTGGGCATGATTAAAGCCTCTGTATTTACCTAACTCCACTCTTTCTTGAACAAGCATCCATGTTGCTTTGTGAATCCCCCTTAATCCCTTCTCTATCTTGTCCCAGGTTGCAAGCTCAGCTGTTTTAAAGAGCAGACCTGCATTCCTCAGAATGTGGTTCGATCCCTTGAGGGTCTCTGCCTTCAGGAGTCTCCCTTGTATGGATTCCGTGTGCCACAGGTTGGAAGTGAAGGTTTTGCTATCCTCTGCCTAATGAGAATGGAGACATTGGTGTGGTTGGAAAGAGCTGCTCTGAGAAGTGGCACCTGGCTGTTTGGTGGCCTTGTCTTCCCCAGGATGAATAGGTTCCTAAGTCAGCTCTTGACAACGGAACAGTCATGAAGGCTCAGGAGATATAATTGCCAGAGTGATTACTTAGCACCCATTGTAGAAAGCCTTAAATTGTTCCCCTCAAATTAACATTCTTTTTTTCACAAGACAACAGCTGGTCCACAGCTTGAACACAACAGCTAAGATAAATTAAATAAAAGAGGCAATAAAATTCAAACCTAATTTAATTTGTGGTACATGCAGATGCTGGCAACACTTTTTAAAATACAACAAAATATGTGAATGTCAGCAAACTCCAATAACTGCTTGGTTCTCATTACCGCAGAGGTCACAAAAACAAAATAAAGCAAAATTAATGTGGCAAGGCCCAAGAAAGTGTGACTCTCGCTGGAGGACCAGTGAATTCAGGAAGACTTTCAGGCCTCAAGGGGCATCTCTCCTTGCCAAGCCCATCTGCAGTTGGTTGTGTTGTTCCTGCAGATAAAGGTGGGAGGGACGACAAGAGTGTGCTATTTTATTTATATCATGCCTTTCTATTTATGAAGCTGTGGTTTAAGTTAAACATCATTTCAGATGGAGAAACATTTGCCAGCCTGGGTGCTTGAGTCAGGATGAGCAGAGTTCCCAGTTTAGAATGACAGCATATGTTGACTTTAAGGTCTTGGGTTTGAACAGCATGTGGTGTTTTGTTTTGTGTTTCCTTTTTTTTAATATGCTGCGCTGAGTCACATCTGAGTTGGACAACCATAATGATCCAATAAATAAATAAATAAATCTACACAAAAGAAAGATAATTAAGAGGGAGGGCGGAGCTGGCGTCACGACGGTACGGAGTGCGATCTTGAAGATCCGAGATCGCCACCAATATCTTTGCTTCTGGACGGTCCAAACGGATCTAAACCGTCCCGGAGAGATGGTGAATGTAAAGAGCGCATCCTGTTGATCCCAGGGACAACGCAAAGTCCCTGGTAGATCCAGGCGAAGCTCTTTTTCCAGCGGCAAAGAGGCAGCCATTAAAGCTGCTGAAGCTGGGACAGCTCCAAAACGGAAGAGAATGGAAAGAGAGAGTGTGCCGGTTTGGTGAGAACTTTTTCTTTTATTTTAAGATTTGAAAGAACACCCTAAGGAAAAGAAAGAATTTGTAAAATCTAAGACAGAAGTGATTAAGCAGTGATTTTAATCAGGAAATCAAAATTAATATTTCTTTTTTTATTGCTGGACTCTTAATATATGATTTTTTACCTTTTCCTTTTAGTTTTTTTCCCTTTTTTGTCTTTATAATATTCTAGGCTAGAGATTCCCTTTCAGCCTTTTTTTTTCTTTTAAGTCTTTCTTTCATTTTTAATTAATTTTTTTATTACATTTTGTTTGGAAAAGTGAAAGTAGAGGAAGATTTGTAATACTGCCATCTAGAGGCTTAGAAACCTTGTCTTCTTTTTTTCCCTTTTCGACCAGACAAAGCTGAGGAAGAACTGAGGCTTCTTTTCAGGACTTTGAGCCTGTTTGATAAGATAGAGGGAAGAGCACAGGAGAGTGTTATTGCAGGTGCTCCTCTGGCTTTCTATCAGTGGCTGGAGACTGGTGTTAAAATTTACAGAAAGAAGACAATAAGACTCTAGAGAAGAGAGTTATAAAATTGTTTGGAACTTAACAAAAAGCCTTGGATAATTAAATAGATGCAGTGTGTTCCTTCTTTTTTTTTTTTTACGTTGGGCTATTCTTTATTTCAACAAACCCCCTCCTTATTAGTTTACTATTTTTGATAGTTACTTGGACCTTTGGCCTTTTGGAATTTTTTTTTTGTCTTTTTTTTTTGCTTTTGGAGTCTATTTTTTATTTTTGCATCTTATTTTAAAGGGAAAATCTTAGTATTAATTTTTCTTTTTCGTTTTAAGGGAGTAGTTTTTTTTTTCTTTTTTCCTCTCCCTTCCCATTTCTTTGTTCACCTCCTATATTGGTTTTTTCTGTGGCTCCTTTTTTTCCTTTTTATACCCAAGACTTTTTAATTGGATTAAGGTGTTGAAGAACCTGAAGAACTTTATTTTTTTATTTTTATTTTGCCACCCACAATACTTAACAATTTTTCCTTTTCCTGTTTATGGTTTCTTCTTTTGGGGGGGGGGGTTCTCACTATTTAATCAATTGATTAGATTAAGGTGTACAAGAACCTGAAGAAACTTTTCTTTTATTCTGCTTGCCTTTTTTCTCCACTATTTTGACCTGGAATTACAACTGGTCATGACACGAGTGGATTAAGTCTAGAAGAACCTGAAGATTTTGAATTGTTTGAAATGAGCAGGAAACTAACAGCGGCTGGTTCTTCAATTCCTACTTCTTCCTCTTCACCATCTGGAGGACAATGCTCAGTACAGACGATGTTACAACAAGAAAAAGAACAGGAAAGGGTGATGCTGAAGATGATAATGCAAGAAATTCAAAACATACAAGCAAGAACAGAGAATATTGAAAAGAGAACAGAGAACAAAGAACAAAGAACAGGAAAAACTGACGAAAAGGTAGAGACTACCCAACAAATGATGATGAAGTATGATGAGAGATTCCAAAAAATTGAAGAAGATAAACAAAGAGATAAGAACATTGGAGATATTGATGGCAGATTAACTGTGGTTGAACAAGATAAAAGTGGGATGCTGGGATGGGAGATGGACAGATCAGAATTTTATCTTAGATTCCAAAACATAGAGGAAGAAAAGGGACAAAACTTGGCAGAGATAATGACAGAAATCTTAGCTGAGGCTCTGGAAATAACTAAAGAGAAGATGATGGATGGAATAGATGAGGTTTTTTGAGTTTTCACAAGACACAC